AAACTAACAAATCAACACAGACGAGCACGTTTGGCAGGAGTTGCGACATCATGCATACTGTTCGAAAGGTGACGTGACTCGGGCAGTGTCATCAACTGTTTCAGAACAGATGCGGCCAATGAAGGACATTCAGCTTCTAGTTCATTCCATTCCTACAAAAATAGTACGTCAATCTTTCGACTCCACCTTATCGTTAGCATCCAACACCGATCACCGAGTAATCAGAATATATCAAATGCAATCAATGGAAACTAGCAAAACTTCGACTGAATGTTTATCTGAATTTTTTCTTTTCGCATTCAATTTTCCTTCAATGAATTTACTGCATTCTTGTTTCGTGAACAATCCGCATTCGAGTTGCAACAGTGCAGTTTTACAAGCAAAATCGCAATTGGACAACAGGGCAGTCGATAAACTGACCCTACTTTCGAGCACCGTTTGACGATTTCGCTGAATTACACAAAGTGCTTTTCTTCTTAGTTTAGGTGCATCATAGAGATCCGCAAGACGAAGACGTTCACAGACATTCCCTGCAGTCATATCTCGCGCCAGCACTTCTTGACATTGCAGTTTCAAACGATCCAAACAAAACCTTAAAATCATTTGCATCATTATGAATACTTTCAAACACTAAGTTCACAATTAATTTCCGGGTATTTGCAATGAGAAAACAAGTTCTGATTGCTCAAGTGAATTTCTTCAACACGCAAACATCATCNCACTGCTCAAGAACATTTTTGCACATACCTATCAGCTGCAGCCATAATATCGGCTGGTTGGTTGGCCAGTTCAGAGCAGTAATCTTTGTAGATATATTCGAGAATGGCGGATACTGCTTCTGGAGTGACATATTCTAGAGCTACCTGAAAACTTTGCTGTAAATGATCGAGCAGTAGCTTTATACACTGACCAGCCAGCCTCTGGTGAAAAATATCTTGGTAATTTGGCATGATATAACTGATACTGAAGTTAATGATTCAACTAATTTTCATTTCGCTGAGATGAGGCTCTATTCTCTTGCAGCATTATCATTTCTATTCAAATATAGAAAACAAAACACGAATGAAATAATAAGCACATAAGCATTTATGCGCGACACTCACCTCTCCAGCGACATTCTCTTGATTGGTCTGATTTCGGAACATTGCTTGAAAGAACGGAGAACGCGCCGATAAGATCGCTTTATGACATCTGAATGTTCGTCGACCAACTATCAACGAAAAATCCGCATGATCCCCATTGTCCAAAAGTCGCCCGAGGTCACGACCTAGAACACATTTCAAGTCACTTCAACCTAGCGAAAATGCCAAGCAAACACCTTATTGTTAGATGTATACACCTATAAGATGTGGTGCAATTACTTCATCGTGAGT